TCTACAGACACTGGGCCGCGGTCTGTCAGCAGCCTGGGCTTAGCTTTAGGCCAGTTTGCCGCGGGTTGGAACCGGCCGGAATGGCTCTGTCTTTGCCTCTTAACTGTGTTACCGGACACCTATGGGAGCGTGTCCTTGTGCAGCCCCCAGTCACCTGGAAAGTGGGCTCTGCTTTTTCAAGCAAGGAATGGAGATTTAAAAATAATCTGGAAACGTTTTAAATATTTTCCTGTTAACTATTTTCCATGTTAACAGTTTTACATTCCTAAACGGGCCGACAAGAAATCTGGGCAGGGGCTTTTGACAAGGGTCTGTAGTGTCAGGACAAGGAGGAATGGCTTTAACCTGACAGAGAGGAGATTGAGGTGAGATCTGAGGAAGAAGTTCTTCCCTGTGAGGGTGATGAGGCGCTGGCACAGGTTGCCCACAGAAGCTGTGGCTGCTTCACCCCTGGAAGTGTTCAAGGCCAGGCTGGATGGGGCTTGGAGCAACCTGGTCTAGTGGAAGGCGTCCCCCCCAGTGGCAGGGGTGTGGAATTAGATGAGTTTTAAGGTCCCTTCCAACGCAAACTGTTCTGTAATCACTCTATGAAAGGACAAAGCAGGTTTTTTGCAAGTGCTAACACAGAACACACAGTGTAAAAGGCACTGTGAAGATGTTAACTAAGCTGTTAGTGCAGCCAGTAACTTTGCCTCCCCCTGTTGCTTTTCTTACCTCTCCCTCATAATCAGTACTTAATCAATTCTGTCAGTGGTATCTAAGGCACGGCACAGTCCACATCACTCATGGGTAGCTGCAGCATGAACAAGTTGTCAGAGGCGAACATGGAAAAGTACTTTCAGCTAACTACTGGGTATAAGGGATATAATTAAAACATTTTCCTCCCACATATGGCTGAGATTTCTATTTAAGAATGAAAAGACTCAGTGTGGTCTATCCAAAACAGATGAAATTGGTGGAAAGCAATGTTGAAGTAATAACATATTACATTAATAAAATCGCTACAAAGTACTGTCACTCTTTACAAAAATATAGAGTTATCGAGTTTAGAAACAGTATCATAGATTGAATTGCACAGTGGTTTGGGTTGAAGGGTTAAAGTTCATCCATTTCCAACCCCCTGCCACATGCAGGGATGCCTTCCACTAGACCAGGTTGCTCCAAGCCCTGTCCAACCGGGCCTTGAGCACTGCCAGGGATGGGGTAGCCACAGGTTCTCAGTCACCCTGGAAATCACCTGTAAGGATTCAGAACACCCCCTAAGGCTGGTCTGCTCCAGTGGCAGAAGCTGTTGGTTGGGTCTAATGAGCTTTTAATGTTGTTGTTTGATTGCTTTTGCCTCAAATGTTACAATTCTAAGTCGTTAGGTTCACATGCTTAAATGATAAGCATAGTGATTATCCAGGAGACTTGGAAGTCTGAAAGATTACTGCTATTAGGAAAACCAAAGCCAGTTGCTGTCTCCACAAAATGTTTGCAGACTTCTACAAGAAACCAGAATTTGTTTTTTTGCAGTTATAAATCCTGCCTGAATCTCCTGTTGCTTTGGCTTGCCTGTCCATGTGATAGCTTTGAAATGAAAGTGTTTCACAGGTATTAATTAAAAGGAACTTGCATCATTATATATGTTCTGCCTGGATGAGGCCACAGAGATAATAGTTACAAACCTCACAGTGCAAACACAGCACTTATCACTTGTCAGTAGACCATTGATTAATATGCTTGGGAATAAGTGTTGCAGGTATTGCTTCATAAACAAGTGATCCAAAGTCACTCCACTGGTCTGTCAGTCTCATGACCCAGAAATCTCTATGTACAAAACTGTTCCTGGCAAAGCAGGAGAAGAGTCTTCCAGTCCATGAAGGCATTGAAAGCATTTCCCCTGCTGGCTGTGTAATTAGTTATGTTTGTGAGCTTCAAGTAAGAAAAGGTATTTGGAATAGTCTTCTGTATTGATTTCCTTATTTATATGACTACTCAGAGTGAATTTCCTAGGAAAAGGCATGTGGAAATTAATTGTACCCAGTGCTTACTGATTAATACTAAAACTTCCTATTTCATCGTACCCAGTACATTCTCTGTACTTTGTGCCTTCACCTTTGCTAAATGCTCAAAGGTATTGCTTCATATTTCAGTGTAAATAGGTTACAATTGATAAATTACTTTTATTTGCTCCCTGTTACTCTAATTATAGTGTAATATTCCAGGCAAGCTGAAGATATTGTCTGGTAGCAATAATTTCTTTTGATTTAGAAAGTTTCTAAATTAATCCTGTGGCTCTTTGGAGCATAAGCATCTGTAAAAGTCCTACTTAAGCTCCATTACATTATGGGACTTTGCAAATGGGAATACTGAGTCTTGTTGCATATGTTGATTTTACAGGGGCTTTAAGTCTGTTTTGAGGTTGGTGTTGTGAATTGTAAGGTATGCTTATTCTTGCAGGAGTTTGCTCTTCTGGTCTGATGGTGCTATTTCAGATCAACCTAATCACTTTGTAAGGTAACAGTGTAAATAGCAACATAGCACAGGATGCTTACTGAAGAAAGGTTGCATTATGGCTTGGTGTTAGAGTTGGAAGAGTGGCATGGGGACTCCCTGTAGTCTTAACTGTGTTTTTGCTGGGACACTATAGCTTGATCCTTAGGAGGTCCACATTTCTGCAGCAGAAGTACTGATCAAATAGATTCTGCACATTACCATTTGGCATGGAAAGCACCTTCCTTTCTGTTGTCACACAATGCATCTGTTGCGTTGGAGAGCAGTATCTGCCTTCCCTGGCCCAAGGACTTTGGGTACCATGTGTGAACAGGCTAAAACCCATTATCCATCTACTTTTCAAGTCTGATAGGACTTCCTAGCTAGAAGCGGGCATTTCAGGTGCGTTACCAAACATAGTTCCAAAGCTTCCTCTGCCTGAGAAACTCCACACTAGCAAAAACAAGAATTACCATGTAATAATGATCCAGTTTAATTTCAGTTGTTCCTCTATCTGAATACTGAATCTTGTCCAAACAAAAAAAAAGTCTTAGAGCAGGCTACCAGGATGAATTCCGAAGGCCGTGGTGTAGTTGTTATAAATTAGTATTTGCATATTGTTGTATTTGACTTTGTTTTGTTCAGCACAGAGGAGCAATATCAGGTTTGGGGGGAATGTTTATTAGGTTTTTACTTCACAGGTCATATATTTGGTAACTGAAAAGGAAGGGCAGCAATTTGATATGAATTTGGGGGTATATACTGGTTGGGGTTTAAAATCCATCCTCTTCTAGCCTGAAAACTTTTTTGAATTCCCCAGGGGAGGAACATGCAAAACTGTTTCAGCAGGCTCAGGAACCATCTGTTCCACCTTCATCAGGGGAGAGATCTGTCATCAACATTCCAAATGAAATTGGGCTTGCTCTAGCCCTGCTCTCTTCGAGATTGGATCTGTGTTCCTACTCGTGGAGAATAAAATAAGTGCCACAAGAAAACGAAGCAATTGCTACTAACATAGTTACAACTTGTAGAGAATAATTTTAAACTGTGGTGGAGTAATCAGGCCTTGGTTAATGGTTTGAGTAATAGCAGTGTAGATATTGATTTGGAAAATTGTTCCTTGCCTCACACCTATACATATGTGTGGAGGAAGGAGGATTTTCATCACAGATAAGATGAAATGGATAAGAGGAGGAGGAACCCTCTTAGTAAAACATGAACAAAATTTTAAAGATGTGTCTCTTACCACCTTGTTTAAGTTGCTTCTTTGTGCCTGAATTTCCCTGTTTCAAGAGAAGAGACAGTAGTAGTTGATGAACCCCTTGGTCATATGCAGATGAAAAGCTCCATGTGGGAGTGGAGTGTATCACAGAATAAGGGGATTTTTGTGTGAGACTGTGGTGGTGACTGGTTGCAGTGAGTCATTCATTCAAATGGCTCTGCTGTAGGACTTCTGTTTCTATAAACTTATTGTACATACCTGCTATGTCTGTAGAAACAATTTAAATAGGCAAAGAGAACACCACTTGCACAGCACTTAAATCTTCAAAGTCATCAATTATCAAGATTTTACTGAGTCAGATCCTGGTTACTTCCTTGTAAGAACAATATTTCAAATAGTCTGTTTTTTCCTAGGATTAGCCCAAGGGAAGAGTTGCATGCTTCTTTGCAATTAATGTGACAGCTGAACTTGGCTAAAGCTATTGTATTTTCCTCTTTGTAACTTCCTGACATCCTTTATGACACCGCTAAAGGGATACATGTTCCTCTTCCTTTTCTTAGTCTCACTAAATATACCCTTATAGCTTAGAATAATGTGAATCTTTCAGTCCTAGGCTGGCTGGTGGTTTCCAGTACCCTGCATACCAGGATTCCCCCTCCACTGGCCTAACTTAGTTACTGAGATTTTTGGGGAAATACGGGTTTCACAAGAGGGTTAATCGTCCTCTGCAGCAGCTGGTAAATAAAAGTTATGCTAGTTTAACAATGGGAGCAAGTAGGTTTGTTTTGATTTGTTTTGATTTGTTTTTCTCTGGAGAAGAGTCCTACTGATAGCAGCCTAAGAAAAAAATCTTTGTCACAGACCATCTTTCTAAGCATTGATTCTTCTGCTTCCATTCTAAGCCATTGAGGGAGCTCTTGTGAGACTCCCCTGCAGTCCTTCATCCAGCTGTGGAGCTCCCAATGCAAGAGGGATGTGGAGCTGTTGGAGCAAGTCCAGAGGAATCCACAGAGATGCTCCAAGCACTGGAGCAGCTCTGCTATGGGGACAGGTTGAGAGTTGGACTTGTTCAGCCTGGAGGAGAGAAGGTTCCCAGGAGACCTTAGAGCAGCTTCCAGTGCCTAAAAGGGCCAACTAGAAATCTGGAGAGGGGATTTTGACAAGGGCCTGTAGTGACAGGACAAGGGAGAATGGCTTTAACCTGACAGAGGGGAGATGAGATATTAGGAAGCTCTCCCTGTGAGGGTGGTGAGGCCCTGGCATGGGTTGCCCAGAGAAGCTGTGGCTGCCCCATCCCTGGCAGTGTCTGTTATTTCATATTACTTTGAGACCTTTGCCTATACTGCTGTGCAAAAGAAGATCAAACTATCACAGGCTTAGTAGGCTTCTTTCACATGCCTGTTCCTGTAGCCCTCAGCCTAATCATACTGCCTTGCACCTTGTGATAACCTCTGTATTTCAAAGAAATGTGGTTTATATAGAAAACTACCCACAGGAGGATTCTAAGAAAATGGTTGTAACCATTAAAAAATAAATGAAAATTTCTTGGACTTCAGAAATTCATATTTGTTGTTCAGACCTTTGTTTGAAGCTCCCTCATCATCAAAAAAGAGCATGAACTCTGAGTACTACTGGTTTGTAGATAGCTTTTTTTGCTGTGGAAGTATTAGTCTTACCATATTTGTAGCTTTTTACACAATTTAAAGTCACATTGGCAGTTCCTAAATGTTATTAGCAGTGCTGTATATTTGAATTTCATTTGCATCACAACATCTGTTTGGTTTGGGCACATGGACTTGCACATAAAGTGATTTGAAACCTGTCCTGTGAATCACTGTATACAGAAAATGTTAAATAACATTTATTCACTGCAAAGGTAAATACGGACTTGAGCTATTGTTGTCCAATAGAACTTGGTTTTGTATAGCATTTTTAATGCAAATTGTATTTGAATGTTTTAGAAGTAAATAATACTGAAGGGGTAAAGAGGCATTTTCAGTAAGCATAGCAAAGACAAAGAGTATTCCTCTTTTTACAGAAATTAGGGGGTTAGATGAAAGAGTTCCTGAAAGATGTGTGTGTTTTTTGTTGGAATTAGGCTGACAGGATGCAGTGCTCTTTCTTATTTATCACGAGGTAAGTAAAAAAGATAGGTAACAGAAACTGGGACAAAACAACACCAGTGATTTTAGTAGAATCATATATTTCTGATTAGAAAGATTTGACTGGAAAGGAAAGTTTTGGAGTATCTTAAATTAATACATCCTTTTGTCATCTTGCAGGGCGTTTCTGTGTAGCACTTGATTAGCTACTATGAGCTTACTCTACAGTGATAACAGTAGTGGAGCCCGAGACGTGGAGAGCGGCTGCTGTGCAGCCATGGCCAGTGCCTGCAGCGCTGGAGCAAAAGAAGACAGTGTCAGCAGCGGGGCTGGAAATCCTCAGAGTTCTTTCACAGAGGAAACACAAGGTTATGATGTGGAGTTTGATCCCCCCCTGGAAAGTAAATATGAATGTCCAATCTGTTTGATGGCTCTTCGTGAAGCAGTGCAGACACCATGTGGTCACCGTTTCTGCAAAGGCTGTATTGTCAAATCCATAAGGTAAAGGAAAATTTGTGGAAGTTGCTTTTAAGAAGGAATTCACTTACCAAAGCAGAGTAGCTTAAGGACAGTGTAAACTGAATAGAACTGCTTGAGGTGAATTACCAGTGAGTGCTAATAGGACTCTGGGAATTTATAATTCATCAAAGGTACTTTCTGATAAACGCCATGTATGGTCAAATATCATGAGTTTGGAGGTTGCAAGAGCTTTAGATACTCTGCCATCTATTATTCTGCTGATGAGAGGCACAGTTACAGTCACGGGTTAGAATTTACCACAGGACTGAGAGGAACTGCAGTGAACCCGTGCTCAGAACACATTTCATAGCAGGTAGAGAAACTTCCTTCTTCAACCCCAGGCATGGAAACTGATTTCTCTTCCTTTTTCAGTTAACAGCAGTCACTCTGCTCGAAGTTCCAGGTCCGCAAACAGTTTTAAACCATTTCAATGACGAGAAGCTTTTGTTCATACTAGTTTGTAATGTCTGCAGTGCTATAATGATTGATGTCATTGAGAAGCTTCTACAGAGCTAAAATGAAAATGGAAAGTCACTTTTTTTTAATTTATTTATTGATTGTCACAGCCTTTATTTGATCAGGATAAAAAATGGCTTCTGTTCATTCCTTGTTTCCACACTGTCCAGCTCAAGTGAGCCCAGAGTTTAAGGATATTAAATTACAAAGGATGGGTAAGCAGTTTTTGACGAATTGCTTCTTGTGACTTACACAAACAACTGTAGTTGTCCATGTTGAAGGAGTTGTGGCTACAACTAGAAAGACTTTTTAATAAAGCTTTCAAAGTCTCATATCTTACAATTTGAGGGACAGGATTAGACCAGATGGGTTTGATCACAGAAAAAGTTTTCCTCCCAGAAAGTCTTGGCATCTTTTTAAATAACTCTATTTGAAGTGCTATGAGTCATGGTAGTAAAGAAGCTTGCTTACCTAAGAAGCTACAAATTGTAGTTTACAAATTATACTTTCCAGAAAGCACTTGATAAGAAATACTGGAAGAACCAAGTTCAGATGCAGTAACTAATTAAGTTTCACTTCTTCTTGTATCTTAGGTCAAAGCTGACTTAGGGCTTGTAAAAGACCTTACCGAATATCAGAACTTTTTATTGGTAAAGCAGAATTATGAGCTGATAAGGGGCAGCAAGGAAAGCTTTGAGAGCTAGCAGTGCATGCCAGCTATGTTCAGTTTCTGGGCTCAAATTCTCAATTGATAAAATCAGAGCAGGCTTTTTCTTCAAACAAAATACTTGTGGCGTTACTTTTCATACCTACATTTTAATTTCAAGGGAAATTATAGGAATATTTATTGTGCTTTGTAGCAGATGATTATTGTTTCACAGGTACTGTTTTGCAGGGCACACCCAAGTGCAATAAGTAATTACAGCGTAGGAAAGCCTCCACCGGAACATAGATTGGAACCAAGGTGCATAAACTCAGTTGTGTGATAGAAGATGTATAGCAACATCTTTGTCTGTAGATGGGTCTAAGCAGCCTTTTAAACACAGTCCCTATACTTGTAAAGGGTGTTTGAAGCCTAGTGACAGGACAAGGGGGAACGGCTTCAACCTGACAGAGGGGAGATTGAGACTGAATATTAGGAAGAGATTCTTCCCTGCGAGGGTGGTGAGACACTGGCACAGTGACAGAGGGTTGGAACTAGATGAGCTTTAAAGTCCCTTCCAACCCAAACCATTCTGTGATTATGTGATCAATATATTACAGTGTTACTGCTTTTTTCTTACTATAATCACTGGAAATCTGCCATTCATTCTTATTTTAACCTTTGCCTGCTAGTCATTTAAACTGGGGATCTGGTAATCATTATTTCAGATTATCCGTTGTTGGCTCTTTTTACACATGATTAGCTTTTCTGTATAGAAATCAGGCTGCTGTCTTCTCAGCAGGCCTACAGAGCTTCACTAAACAGGGGATTTGAAATACACCTGTGATAACTGATTAGTGTAGGTTGTCTGTGAGGTGAAGGAATGTTCCTGAGCTGTGACCAGCATTCTGATCCTAGCCCTGGGAGCTAGGAAACAAAACAGCACACTAGGTATTTTCAGTTTTCCACTTATTTAGGAGTATGACTGTCAGATTTGTGGTGAGCAAAACCTAGGTAAGGAAGTTCATTGTCTCTTTCTGAAGTCTCAGCTTTACCCCCACTTCCTCTAGCAACGTTGCTGATGGAGTTGCTGAGCAATTATTTCCTTTTCCAACAAAGAACACAAATTTCCTCCTGGTCTCCACAGCCCACTAGGTTCTACTTCCCCTCCTGCTTCTGAGCAGTGACAATGCTCTGGCCTTTGATCTTTCCACCACAACTGTTCTGACATTTTTCTGGCCCATGTATTTTTCCATTTTAAGGCTGTTTCCTTTAGCACTTCAGCTCAGAAGCTTTGATCTCCGTGCCTCCTCAACTGTATTACTTGCTTGTGAATAGATACTTTGACCTGCTGCTTTCAGAAATGAGCTGATACTGGATATTTTTTAAAGAAAGATTTGGTAGAGGTGAATCCCTTTTTTACTCCATGTCTAATGATTCTTGTGTTTAATGCAGGTAGACAACCTGACAAAGTGGAACAGGCTTGTGCATGTTTTGTGCACCCATGTTCCACCATCGGACTCCAAACTTGCGCCAGTTAGCACCAACTTCTAGTCCGTTTGCTGTTAAAATGGCTTCAGATACAACACCCAGTTCTAAATCCAGTGTAATTTTCATAGAATCGCAGACTGATTTGGTTTGGAAGGGCCCTTAAAGCTCATCCAGCCCCCTGCTGGATGAGGACTCCTTCCACTAGATCAGGTTGCTCAAAGCCCTGTCCAGCCTGGCCTTGAGCACTGCCAGGGATGGGGCAGCCACAGCTTCTCTGGGCAACCTCTGCCAGGGCCTCACCACCCTCACAGGGAAGAACCTCCTAATATCTCATGTCAATCTCTCCACTCAGGTTAAAGCCATTCCCCCTTGTCCTGTCCCTACAGGCATTCATAAAAAGTCCCTCTCCAGATTTCTTGGTGCCTTCAGGTACTTGGAAAGCTGCTATAAGGAGTCTTCCAATACTTAATACTTTTCATAGTATTTTTTGTGTCTTAAGTTTTTTTCATCTTTCTTTGCTACATAAATATGCAAATTAAAAGATGAGCAAATGGTTGTCCAAGAAAAACAGTGAAATATGTGAAATGTAATGCCTAATAGATGAAATGAATCTGGAACAACAAAGAGATTTTTGCTTTTGCTCAGCTGTCAGCATCTTGGCTCTTTATGAAGTGAGAAGGAAAGGAGAGAAGGTCCAAGAATCTTTAAAGGATTGCTTTGAAATAGTATGTGAAATATTCTTTGTTGTTTGAGCTATGTTATTACTTGCAGAAATGGGATCGTAAGTTCTCAGTTTCTTTACATCCTCCTCAAGTTTATTCCCACAGTATCCATTTGGCATTTGTCCAAATAAAAACTACTGAGTTAGAAACTGCTGCTACCCCAGTCATGCCACCTCTGCTAGAGCTTGTGTATTGACAATTCTCTCATGTACAGTGCATACTCTCTCCTAAATGTCACATAAATGCCATTTTTTTTCAAAGACTTCCTTAATGTGTTATAATTTGGCCACTAATGTCTTGCTAATGTAAAAATACTTTAAGGGCAAAGGGAACTTGGAGTATCTTTCTCCTTTCTTCTTGGCATTACAGAGATGCAGGTCACAAATGTCCGGTAGACAATGAAATTCTGCTTGAAAATCAACTTTTTCCTGACAACTTTGCTAAACGGGAAATCCTTTCATTAACGGTGAAGTGTCCTAACAAGGGCTGCAGTATGAAGATGGAGCTGAGGCATTTAGAGGTGAGAATTAGCTTGGAAAACATGCAACATGGTTTTCATGAGCAAGTCAAAATTCTGAATAACATAGATGGTCATGTTTATGCTGATGCAGTGCACTGTTTATTCAAGTCTATAGCTACATGTATTTGGTTTTAGGTCAGCTTTTAATTGTAATTAGGTCATTCGCAAGTGAACATTGTAGTGCATAAAAATTGCATTGATGCAGTTTTCTCTTTTGGATCAATCATGTTTGTGTTTTGACCTGTATCTGTACTTCACACAAATTCCCTAAAGTCAGTTTAATATTCTTTCAAAGCAGCTAGGTACATTAGTTGAAATATTTTGTTTTGGAAAATAAAATGCAAAGTGAAAAGGCCAAACACAGAGCAAGTATTTATTTGCATGAAGGAAGGATTACAGTTCATTCCTCTTGTACTGTATCTTGAAAACAGATGAGACCACAGTACCTGTTTATAGTATCAAATCCCTCTTTTGTCCTTGTTCAGGACCATCAGCTGCAGTGTGATTTTTCCACTGTGGAATGCCCACAGTGCCAAGGAGCCTTCCAGAAGAACCATCTGAAAGAGCACATAACACAGGAGTGCCCAAGGCGTCAAGTCTGTTGTCCAAACTGTGCCACATCTATGGCCTATGAAGATAAAGAGGTACTTTGCATAAATCTCAGCTTTTCAACCCTCATGGGTTTGCTTGTAAACAGAATATCAGTTTAAAAAAAAAAATACTTGGTATAGAAGAGCTCTCAGTGCTGCACAGGTGAGATGCTACAAACTCAGGTCATTAGTCTAGAGCAGCCAAAAGCTGGAGAGAGGATTGTGCTTAAATACCAACTTAATTGGAACTCTGCATGTGAACAGACTTGGGTAAGAACTGTTGAATTTTGGCCTTCCCATCAGTGAAGCCAATACCTACTGCCAAAGAAACACACGAAGCAGTATTTGCATTTATAGTTGTTATGCCTGGCAGAAAGCATGTGTCAGGAGCTGAATCTTTTGGGGATATCTACTCACATAAGACCAAGACAATTTCTGATTCTTCTCTGGCTCTGCATTTTTTTTTACTGGGGTGATGCCGAGGATTGTCCTTTCCTTTTTGAGCTTCTGGTTCTTTATATGGATGTGGTTGATCACAGTTGCATACAGCTAAGTGCAGAATTGGAAAGTAAATAAAGATAATAGCATCAGAGCAGTCTTTTTAAACTGTGTAACTTCATTCTTTCTTTCTTCTCTTTTTTTTCTGTTTGGTAACCAAGCTTCATGACCAAACATGCCCACTTGCCAATGTATTTTGTGAATATTGCAACACAGTGCTCATCAGAGAGCAGGTAAGAGACAACCTTTTCTCTGTGTTTAATCTGTGGCAGATGTTTTGCATGTACATTACTTCTTTAATATGAGATCTAATTGGAAGAAATGGTTTGCCTACTAGCCAATAAATCTTTACCTGTCTCTGTCTGAAAATGCTTCATCCAGTGCAGGTGTAATAATCTGTCAAATGCTGCTTCAGTTTTCAGCTGCAAGTCTGGTCAGCCTCTGGGATTTTTGGCTGCAAAGCACATTTAGCTATATTGCTTCTTGACTGGGGCCATGCTGTGTGGTTTTGATCTTGAGTGGAGGCTAAAGAACACCAAGCTGCCCGTGCTTATGGCTGAAATTAGAAAACAAGGCTCTCATTTGGGCAGGGAAGGAGAGTATTTGTAATTAGCTATTGTTGGAAATTAGTTATAAATAATTCACTGTGAACTGTACATGCTGGCTGGAATTCTGCTTCTCCATTATTATTGTAATAGTCATTACTATTTCTTCTAGTGAGTAACCTCATCAACAGGAAGATAAATGTGTTTTAATTTGCAGCCCATCTCTGTTAAAATTAAGAATGAACTTGTCAAATCGGAGAAATATTCTAAAAACCAGGATTGAGTTCAGTAATGACAAAGGCAAAAATGTGTTGTAAGGTAGAATAATGAACTGTATTATCCTTTGCTCTGCTTAGAGCTCTTAAGGTCTCAGCAGAAGCTGTCCAGCTTTTGAGGTGGGGATGGATAGGGAGGATCCTGACCAGTGGGATAATTGGGTCTGGAAAACACAGACCATAAGAATAAATGAAGTATGTTGGGCTTTTTGGGGAAGAGGATAATGAAGACAGATATGAGAAGTATATGCAAGTAGTGCTTCAGAAAGGAAGAAAATGCCCCGTCCCTGGCAGTGTTCAAGGTCAGGTTGGATGGGGCTTGGAGAAACCTGGTCTAGTGGAAGGTGTCCATGGCCGTAGCAGGGAGATGGAACTGGAGTCTTTAATGTCCCTTCCAACTGAAACCATTCTGTTACTCTGTGAGTGTATGAATCTATTAAATGGACTGTGATCTAGCTTTGAGGACAGGCTAGAAATGAAAGGCATTTGTTCTAGCAAGAAAACCTGAATGCTTTCTGATGCCTTCTGTAAGAACAAAGGTAATGAATTGTTAATGTACAGGCAAGGAGGTAGAATTTTTGTCATCAGCTACCATTTTGGTTCAAAAGTTCCATGTTTCTTTGAGAAATTATATAGGTATAAACTGATCTGACTTCTGCTACATATTCAAAGTCCATGCAGTCATATTCTTTTAGGATGGTATAAAAGAATAAAACTCTCAATTGAGCAATTAATTTCAAATCTGATTTGTTTCAGATGCCTAACCATTATGACAATGATTGTCCTACTGCTCCAGTGCCTTGTTTTTACAATGCTTTTGGGTGTCCAGAAAAGGTAAGCCTTTTGTCAGAATAAGGAATTGCAGACCTCCTGCATGTGTTTGTTGTTTGGGGTTTTTTTTAATGTTTCCTTATTCTTGTCTTATTCGCCAGCCCAAATCCTCAGTGATTCGTGGGGGGGTTTTTTGGTTTGGTTGTGGGGTTTTTTTGTTGTTGTTGCTTTGAGGTATCTTGATTGTAAACCAGTACATATTCGTACACTGCCTTTTTAAAGTCCTTTTCAAATTTAAAAAAACTCTATGAATGATTTGCTTGATAACTTGCTTTTATTAATCTGTTAGTGTTTGCTCAGTTTTCGTGGCAATAAGGTAGCTTCTAGTGTTTCTTCCAAAGTTCTGACCAAACAGAGTGATGGCTCTTAGTGCTCTGTGAAGAAAACCTGACAGTGCTTTAAATTTGAGTAAATTCTAGAATGATTTAATCTGGATAATACTGTTTTTAGTTGCTTAATACCTCTTTGTAAAAATGGGTCTTTTCCCTTCAGCATTTCTACATCAGTTTTCATGCACCTTTGTGTTTGGTATGGGGGAGCATTTTAGCCAATCAATGAAGGGAATACATTGCTGATTTATAAGACAGAAAAATAGGAAATGCATGTTTATCACTAACACTTTTTTTACCATGTCACTCATTTTGAGTTGAACAGTACTTGCCCACTGGCATTTGAATTGCCTTTCTCATTTGTCATAACAGCAATCTTAAATTTGGAACCCTCCACTGGCTGAGTGTTAGTTTGTCACATCACCTGTCCTTGATTTGTATTCCAGTTTTTCACACATAACGGAAGAAACTAGTTTGGTTTTCTTCCAAGCCACGTTTAAGATGGGATTGCAGATAACATTTGATGCATTCCTAATTCCACGTCTCTTAAATTCTAGATGCAAAGGAATGAACTGGCACGACACATGCAGGAGTTTACTCAGGTTCACATGAGAATGATGGCACAGAGTTTTCAAAACATCAGTGTTACTGCAACAAATCCTGTACCCTTCATCAATGGCTTACCCTTTGAGCCTGCCCTCTTCTCACATGCATCACATGCCACGTATGATTGTAATCCAGAAGTTGAAAACTTCAAAGAAACTATTCAGCAGTTGGAAGGTCGTCTGGTAAGACAAGATCACCAAATCAGAGAACTCATTGCTAAAATGGAGACTCAGAACACTCACATGGCAGAACTCAAACGTACTATCCGAAATTTGGAGGGAAAGATTACTGAAATGGAAGCACAGCAATGCAATGGCATTTATATCTGGAAGATTGAGAACTTCAGTGGACTTCAGAAAGCCCAGGAAGAAGAGAGACCTGTTGTGATGCACAGTCCTGGCTTCTATACTGGAAAGCCTGGCTACAAGCTGTGTTTACGCCTGCATATCCAGTTACCAAATGCTCAGCGGTGTGCTAATTTTATTTCTCTGTTTGTCCACACTATGCAAGGAGAATATGACAGCCATCTGCCTTGGCCCTTCCAAGGCACTATACGACTTTCTATTTTGGATCAGTCAGAAGGCCCTGACAGGCAGAACCATGAAGAAGTAATGGAGGCCAAGCCAGAGTTACTAGCCTTCCAGAGACCAACAATTCACCGCAATCCGAAAGGGTTTGGTTATGTGACTTTCATGCACCTGCAAACCTTGAAACAAAGAACCTTTGTAAAGGATGATACACTTCTGGTGCGCTGTGAAGTTATAACACGTCTAGATTTAAACAGTCTCCGCAGAGAAGGATTTCAAGCTCGCAGTGCTGATGGAGCTATGTAGCTTGAAAGTCTCAACCAGAGGAGTGGAGCCACTAGTCATGTTATTCCATCACAGAGTATGCTTCATCATCCGTATATGTTTGCAAAGGATCATAATTGCCAACATAGTTGATCTTCACCTGAATAGAATTTTGTTGTTGCTGATATACTTTTTTTTTTTTCTCTATGAGGTCATGTATTCAATTATTTGGTATTGTTCTCTCTTAAAGTAATAAGCTACTTCGGTAGCAAGCTAACTAAATGAAGTGTTGTCAATCAAAACTTCCTTAACAGGAAAGTCCTGTTGACATATCTGTACATCTCAGTTAGGCAAAACTTCATCAGAAAAGACCTGTAACTCTTTTCACGTCAGTACCTTGGAATAGATACTGTATCAGGGAAATACCTACATTCATGAAGATGAGGGGTTTTTTTGTTAGTTTTGTTTTTTTCACAGTTCTTGGGAGAGTTGAGACAGTTCTCTGTATTGACTTACACAGAAGTTTGAATTGGCTATGCTTCTCATGAAATCTGAAGTCAGGTTAAGGCTTTGCTCAGAATGCCTAGGGTTGAGGTGTGCTTTGACCCTTACCTTCTGTGCTGTTCTCTTCAGGAAGTTGCATGTTGATGTAGAATTGACTCTAGTAGTAGTGTCTGAAAGACACTTTCAGAAACATGGTAGTGTTGTGGAGAAGGCTAAATAACTCTGAGCTGAGTTTACTGAGGAGATACTTTTAATGTGTTCTGAAAGCAACCCCCAGTTCTTTATTTTGAACACGCTTTTTGTAAGTGTGTGCTCTGGGCCCAAAATGTCAATCACCATCACCAGAGAGACAAAAGGGTAGCATTTGGATGAGATACCTTTGTGTTGGTGGGATCTCCTAGTGCTGGGTATTTTTCAGGTTGTGAGTTGGATACATGAGTGAAGGTACGTAGTAACTGTATAGGGTGATGCAGAACTGGGCCTGCTGTTGTTGAAACCTGAACTTGTACCAAAGGTGAACTTGTGATCTGCAGCTGTTCGAGTGATCTGCTGGTGCTGTGGATGACTTATGATTTGTTGTCTCCTGTGAATTCTCAGGGGCCATATCAGCATCCATCTGCTATGGGTATTTCCTGTACCATTAGACAGTAGGAGCTAGGCCACCCTCAACACTTTGGAGGGAAAGAAAAACCTGTTAATTTGACACTGTGAGGAGAAATTGCAGTCCTGTTTGCTCTTAGGAAGAAAATCCATAGTTCCTCATTGACCAAACACTAGATTCACTATGGCAAGAATTCAGGTGCTTACTAACGTTTGTGTATGTTACTGCTCTCTGTTATTGACTCTGTATGCCAGAAAAATGTTAGTTTTGACCAAAGTTGAGTAGTTCAAGTTCACTGGGGCTAAAAATTCTAACTTACCATGGTGCTGATAAAGTCTGACTCTTGGCTTTAAAAGGAGTGAAGAATAAGGTTTTGTCCGCCCCATAACATGAAGTGTAGAGTCTGATACTGAAGAAAGAGCTAAGTGATACATAAGCATATGTTTATTATTTCTCTAAATGTTAAAGCAACCTAAAGACTCAAAACACTGCAATTTAAAAGATACTGAAGAGTTATTTGGCCTTATCAAATCAATGCCGTGGGTATCATCAATGGGGAAAGTGTGTATGCTTAATACATACAAAGCTAACGAGGGACTACTATAGTGTGTGGATTTGGGAGGATGACAAATTCCAGGACCCACCCTACCACTTCATCATCATATTCAGATGACTAAAGTTGATTTTGCAGATAGAGCCTATTAGTTGAAGAGGAATTATGTTAAATGGAGTACTGTCACTAGTGAGACATGAATTTCCTAACTAATGGTAAATTCAGTCAGTCATTGAGTGAGTGTGTGTATTCTGTGTGTTTAGAGGACAGGTGAACATACATTACCCAAAACAGAAAGAGATCCAGGCTTTCAAACTGTCTTTTTGAACATCTTAAGTAGTTTTGTACCGAACAGCCTCATCCTATTAGGATTCAGAGTGCCTTCAGTTAGACTACTCCTAGTAGTTAAACCATTCTTAACCAAGAGCTTTTAACGTGCATGGTACTGCTCGGTTCCACTGAGCAGTAACCCGAAGACACTGTACACTAGTAACCTGGTCATTTTCAAGCTATGTTAGTTATCCATGTTCTTTCAAGATGCTCAAAGACTACCATTCTCCTCTCTTAATATTTTTTTTGAGGGGGTGGGGGAGCAGGGGACTTGTAATTTGAGAGCTTCTTCCTGCCAGTTACTTTCTCAACCCTAGTGATCCTAACAACAAATGTCCTTAATCTGTGTTCTAATAATTTATACCCAGGGCTCACCAAGTGCATTAATACTTTCTTGCCTTTTGAATCTTTGTGTTACGAACTGAATTTTTGCTCTGAGCTGTATCTGCTAGATCTGACTATACTTCTGCCTTGGGAGGAGCCTCAGTTTGGTGGCAGGTTCAGGAGTTTAAATGATTTGGGTTAATACTGTACAGTAACACAGACTGATAGGGAATAAAATGCTAATGCATATATAATACTGCATTGGCCACAGTAACATGGATGTTTTAGTCACTGCTGCTATTCTACTGTTTTTGTATTTTAATATTACCAGGCAGAACTCCTAGTGATTCCAAATTACTGTAATGCCAGAATTTTACATCAGATACTCTTAGAGCTAATTTGCTTAGTATCAGTTACATCTTACTTTCATGAAAAATTATAAATGTTAATGAAATGTTTATTCATGTATTTATTCCGGTTTCCTCTTTCTTTCCCCACCTTCCAAGCTACTCTTCATTTTAATGGCAGTTCCAGAACTTTCTCTTACAAATAAGAACTTCAGCTGATGGAAGAATTCAGGAGTGTACATTTTTGCCATCTCAATATATAGTCTTTGTGACTATTATCTTGTGTTTGAACTTTTCTGAGGTTAGCACAAAGAGATTCAGTTTCTGTGTGAAAATGCATTTTCACTGGAACAGCATCTCTTCACCTTCCTCCAGATCTCACCTTCTGAGAAATCACTTTATCATGGTGGATTGAGGTGTAATTGCTAGAACTGCTTAAATGGAAGTAGAAAGGTATGCAGCGTTGAGACCTGTTTCTAAAACAAATAGGAAGTAATTAGAGGATTTAACCACTTACTGCATAATTTTGTCAGGAATGGGGTTCTTAGGTCTGTAACTCTTGGTGCCTTGCAGCATAACTGGATCTCAACTCAAGGTGGTTTAGAGAGTGGCTTAGCCTTTTTTATCTCCCAGATTTCAGTTGTTTTGAATGTGGTTTAAGCCAGTCATACTTAATACGTGTCTTTGCAAAGCTGCTATGGCACAAATTCTCCCTTTATAATATATTGCAAATGTGTTTACCTTTTTGCCTCTGAATGTCTTCCCCTGCAGGGCAGGGAGAATTCTTTTTCTAAAGATGTTGGTATGTAATGTATATGTGGGAGCTCAGATAATGTGAGATGTATAGACTTGAGCTAGTCGCATGATATGCCTGATCATGTTTGCTGTGGGATTAAACTTGCCCATGAAATAAAATGAAGGTGGCCTTTCTGTTCTTATTCAGAGAAGCTTTCACATCAAATACATTGATGATGGATGCAAAACATGATTCTGGGGTCAGTGTTAAAGGTTTGTATTAGTTTGCATTTGAACAGAATGAAACTACTCCTGTTCCCTACGAAATATCAATAGATTAATATACATTTTGTAATTAATTGCACAGCTGTATTTCTGACAGGACTTTAAAAAATAAACTAATTAAACTGTGCGCAGCATGCTGGACCTTTATTCCTCTGGAGGGTGTTCAGAAAGATAAGCTGACACAGGACCTCTGGGGTAGTTTTTCTGTCTTGTTGGCTGGTCTTAATGAGGGATGTACCATATAGCACCATGCAGGCAAAAAGGATATTTCAAGATAAAATCTTGTGTCATTTATGAAGGGTACAGATAATTTTCTTCATTGCTAGAAGACAGAGCTAGTGCAATTGATAATAAATTCAGTGTTCTCATGTAATTTAAGATGCAATATAGGATGATCATCTTTGATTGCTGAATACGATCACCTCTGGCGACATCCTGCTTGCTTCTTATGCTTATCACAACACCAGCTCTGGGTTGAAGGTTTGCTGCAAGATACTCTGATCAGAAACCAAAGGGAGTTCCTCTGTGAGAGAAATGAGTGGTTGCTTCGTGGCAATCTGCTAATTTATCTCAACCACAGAGAGAGGCTGGAGCTGTTTTTTAACAGCATCTGCAGAAGGGAAATCTTGATTTCAGATTCCATGCCCCATCAAATGTATATTTTATTCGAGACATTCAAATTTATCTGGGAAATGTGATGGTATTTATTAGACATAATCTTTAAGGCAAGTGGAGTTAATGTCAAGTTAATTACAACTTACTTGGTCCTCATAGCTTTCACGTGTAATGGATGGGAAAGCATGCTCAGATACCATACAATCCCAGACTGGTTTGGGTTGAAGGCACCTTAAAGCTCATCCTGTTCCAACCCCCTGCCATGGGCAGGGACACCTTCCACTAGATCAGATTCGTCGAAGCCCCGTCCAACCTGGCCTTGAACACTGCCAGGGACAGGGCAACCACAGGTTCCCTGGGGAACCTGTGCCAGGGCCTCACCACCCTCCCAGGGAAGAACTTCTGCCTAAAATCTAAATATTCCCTTTGTCAGATTAAAGCCATTATGCTAGCAGGAAAAATGGCCAAAGGTAATATACTTAACTGCCACCACTGTCTCACCCTCCTCATTTTCCCACCACTGAGCCTTTGTCTGATCCATCTCGAAAGAGCAAAATGGGCTAAGTGGACTTTAGTGCTACCATTCCCCTTACAGGACCTGAGTACTTTATTGACCTGAAATACAAAATTCCATGATCTGCAGGTTTCATGTCTTGTTTGGGGTTTTTTCCCCAATTAAACCTAACCCGCTTGATAAAAATATGTCAGCACAAGATGTCACTTGTCACAATATGTGACAAGTTTGGTTACATCTACAGTTTTGTCCAGTTCGCAGACAACAAAAAATCCACCCCACAGAGAGCACTCTTCTTGTTTCTCCTTTTTTTGTTTCCTCTTGCCTACAAGGTAGCAGAGATTTCTGTAGTAGTCACAGCTTCAGTCTACCCTTACTTGTATTTTATGCCAAGAAGAGCTATTATCACCTCTTTCTCATCTGCTAAGAGACTGCAATTTTCTCTATTAAAAAAAAAATATCAAAAATGTGCCA